GTGTGTTGGGTGTTGTGCTATAATCTTGCTGACACTATTCCCCGGTGAGGTGTGTAGCCCCACAAATTTACAGAAGTGGCACCTGATGAGGCTTATCTGAACAGTTAAGTAATTTGCTCAGTCACCTACCTTGCAAGTGTTGGGTTACATCTAGACCTGGCTGACAGTCTTTATTACTTTATTACTCTTTATTATTGTACTCTTCCTGCCTTCCAGTTTTGACCTCCCTTAATTTGTCCCTTACTTAGTTATCTAACCTCCTAGAGGTTCTGGGCGATGTGAAGGTCATAGCATGTTCCAAGTATTTGGTGGGTAAAATCATTTTTGTCCAGGTAGTGCCTGCCATGGGAATGTTGGAAGCACAATATACCCTTTTTCTTTGTGTTTTAAAACACTCATGTATAAGGGAGCCAGTCATTGGAGCAAAAGTGGGCAAGAACATCGGCGTGATCTAATATATCTGATCCTGGCACTACCTGATTACTGAAGTGGTCAGTCCAAAATCTTATTGCTGAATTTATATGTAAATTTATATACTGCTTTGACGTTGTATTCAAAGTCAGATTTGATAGAAATTATTTTCACATTTAAATCAAGTTAGTTTTTGGTAGAAATAAAACCTCAAGACTTTAGATAAATTCAGTACCTCATTTATGGGGACTGGTGATGATTTGGACCTGGATTAGCTCAAGTTTTATGTTTGGATTACGTACAGAAAAAAGGATTACTAACCAAAGCAATTGGGTTAATAGGACTGCAAGGAAAATGTTTGCACACTGGAGAAACAAACACCACATCTATAATGTATGGGAGTCCACACCTGCAAATGCTGTGATGTGCTGCATCTCTGACCAGTAGAATGCTGCATAGAAAACGTGATCTTGGTACCTAATTTGAAAGTAGATAAACACGCCCCTTCCTCTTTTATGTGCATATATACTTTAGGGAAATGTTTTTTGAAATATTCATAGAGTAAACTTTAGCACATTTTTCCTGCTTAAATTCAGTTGTGAAATTAAATATGCTCTAGGGCAAATTTATACTTATTTACTAGTAAAAATCATTTCTAAGAATTTAGTAACCTTTTAATACTTATATTTGAAGAAAGGATTTCTGATAAGCATATTGTCACACATTGAAACTTGACATACCTGTTGCTTGAGGATATATATCTGGAACATTTTTATTCTTTACCCATAGCAGAGAGCCCAGCACACAGTAGGCCTTCAGTATATAGTTGCTGAGATGAATCGTGATTTTCTGGCCAAGCTGAATAAGGCCATAAACGTATTGTAATTTGCGGTAAAATAATGAAATGATTTGTTTCCAAATTAAATTGTTATTTTGAGAACTTTCCGACTTACACAAAGGTTGCACAGGTGTTATAGTTAATCCCCCAAACTCTTCACCTCCATTCAACATTGTTAACATTTTGGCAGTTTGCTCTTTGTTTCTCTATACGATTATAATTACAGGCACACAGTGTAATGTATAGGTTATTCTTAATCTTAATTTCTTTGTTGCACCTTTTTAAGAAGTTGTGCACCTGACCATTAGCCTGTATCTCCTAAGAGCAAGGCCAGGCTCTCATAATCAGCACTCAAATTCAGAAAGTGTAACATTGACACAAATCAGCTATGTAATACGTAGTTCATTCCCAGATTTCAGCGATTGTCCAATAATGTCCTTTATAGCGACTATCTTGCCAATCCAGGCTCCTGCCATTGCATTTAGTTGTCATGTCTCTTTAGTTTGGAACAATTTCTCAGCCTTTATGTTTCATGATGTTGGTAGTTTTAAAGAGTCAACTTGGTTTTATCTGTTTCGTCGTGATTTAATTCAGGTTATGCTCCTTTCTCCCTCCCTCCCTCTTTGTGTGTGTGCAGAGATGCTATGTAAGTAATTCGTGATTTTCTCAGTGCTTCATCTCAAAAGGCACCTGATGTCAGTTCTCCATCATTGGTGGTGGTAATTTGATTTTAACATCTTGGTTAAGGTGTGATGTCTACCAGATTTCTCCACTTAAAGATTCTCTCTCTTTCATTTTTTTCTGTGTATCAAAAGTTGGTAAGAGAAGTGAGTTGACGCTGGGGGATATCCCATTCCCAGACAAACATTCACCCGTTAGTATTAGTGTGTGTAGATGATTCTTACCTGAATCAGTTACATTTCCTTGCTGGCTTTCTGCTTTTCAGAAGAGCTTGCCTTTCCTGTTTGTTGGTTTATTTGTTAAAATATTTAAAGCCCCAAATGTTAAGGTAACTCTTATAAATGATTAAATCTGTATGGTGTGTCTCGTTATCTTTCATTTTCTAAGATGTAAAGGACTTGGGAAACAAACAAAAATTCAGCAAGTTTATTGTGGCCTTAGCATTATCAAGGGAAAGATTGAAGGAGGACGGACCATCAGCTTTTTTCTGTTTTAGTGGATATTCCTAGAGGCTGTGTGGGGAATAGAAGGATGTTTTCATCAAGCTTGGTGAAAGTTAAGTTGTACAAACTTCTCAAAGGTGCTAATATGCTAATGGTCTTGTGAGTGTCTTAGGGGAGGATAAAGTGCCATTAAAAGACCCTTGTCTCCGCAGGTGTCTCTGTGGACTACCTTCTCATTAACAAATGTTAATGAATAGGCATTCTTCTAGAGAAGCATTAGACCCCATTTTTTGGTTTTGTTTGTTTAGGTAATAAAAAGATTAGCAAGACAGGCTTTGTCTTCTGGGACTTTACCTGTGTTTCGGTTGCCGGGGTGGGGGTGGGGGAACAAAAGGAAAAATAAAGAAGAAAAAATAAAACACTGCGATTGCTGGCGGAGTAGAGCGCAGGCCCCCAAGGCTGTGGGGAGTTCATAGGAGGAAGAGCTCTTCATCAGAAAGGGTAGGAAATAACTTCCAGGGTGGTATTTATAAGTAGGTGAGTGTAAGCTGAGATGAGGGTGAAGAGGGCAGACGTGGAGCAGATGGAAAAGTGTGAGGCACCTGCAGGAAACGGCCCCCGCCCAGGCTGTGTGCGGGGCTTGTGGGGGCAGATCAGGGGGGCCCTTGGATTACGGTGGGAGAGCGGTACCTTCATCCAGACGGGTGGGGGAGGGGAGGGAGGAAGGGCTTTCCGATGGTGGAAGTGGTTCTGATTTGCAAACCGGGTTAGGATGGGGAGACTGGAGTCAGTGGATTGACCGTTGTGATAGTCGAGAGCAGTGGTCTTCAGACTTAATGACTGGATACCTTCTAAACTAATCTCGGAAATCTTCTCTCAGACATTTTCAAGTTTAAAGGTATTTTCAAAATGAAACTGTCATAATCACTTTTAAAAATGGAATCGAAATGTAGCACTTCACACTATCATCCATTTTCAAAATTCAAGAATAAACTTTAAATTGGGAATTTTACATCGTTCTTTTTTCTTCTTGATCTTTCTATTTCCTGCACAAAATTTTACCTTAATATATTTTTATGCTTGCAAGTTTTATTGATCACCCTATCACGTTTCTTTGCACCAAAGATATAAGGAGAAATTGAAATTTTTAATCTCCTGTGGCCATAAAAAAACTTTAAAACTTTGTTTTCTTTATTAATACTCAGTTGATCAACCAGAATGTATTGCAAATTATGATAAACACTTGGTAAACAAAATTTTATTAAATAGGTGTCTGTTAATAAAATTGATGGAGCTTTTAAAACGTAACATGTATTCATGGGTGAATATAATTTATTGCTAGAATAAGACAGTATTTAGCATCAATTTCTACCTTTTATTTTAAGAGCTGTAAGCCCAGAGAAATTTTGTTGACGTAGGTAAGTGGATGGAAAGGGTTTTGCTAGCGATGCCGCTCATTCCCTTGAACTTCTTCCAACCTGTGTGTCAAAAATTTAAAAGTTATTTTTAATGAGCTGTCAGTCTTTCAATTTTTTTGAAAGCAAAGGGTTGAAGAATGAATACCTGACTTGTAAAAGTATATATTACAGCCTTTAGAGGGTTGAACTCTTCACACTCCATCAGTGTTGCAGAGGGTCCCTTTGCTTTGCAGTGGAGGCTTTTCTGCCTGGGGGCAGTGCAGCACTGCAGCCTCGAGGTCACGGGAGGTGGGAGGTTGTGAAGGGAAAGTCTTCGATCCACAGCCCAGGCACATTTCTGTGATGGAGTACTCCTGGAGGTTGGGGTCTGGTATAGCCCTTGGAGTCCTCTGCTTGATTTATTCCTCGGGAAAGCTTCATGTACCTTATGGGGTTCAAATACCCCAGTTTGCTCTGAGCAGACGATATCAGAGCCTCTGAATTAGGGTATTGGAAACTGAGAGGTGTGGGAATACAGAGTACTTCATACAAGTAGAATTTCTAGTTCGTGGCGACTGATGAGATGTGGCGGCACGAAAAGTGCCTTACAGAGTAACTGAAGGCCTCAGGTTTGAGAACTGCCGGTTACTGGGGAAAATGGTGGTAATCAGAAAGTCATGAGGAAGAGCTGATTTTTTATAAGGTTGGTTTGGACAGTTTGGTTTTCAGAACATACGTGACATGGAGGTACAGACCCTGAAGTACCTGCAAACGCAGCTGTGGGGGTCAGAGCAGAGCTTTGGGGTCCTCTGCGCTGTGAATGGTAGTGGAAGCTGTGGCTTGTTGAGGGGAGGAGGGGCGTGTGTGTGTGGACAGTGTGTATAGGAGGACAAAGTGGGGGGAAAGAAACTACCTACACAGAAGGGTTAGAGAGAAGCAAGAATAGTCTAGAAAGGTAGACAATATTCCAAGAGATCCAAGAAAAGAGAATTTAAGACGAGGGTGTTGGGATGGGGGAGTCAGTCCTTAGTCCTTAGTTTTGGCAGGTTATTGCCAGTCTTTGAGAAGAGTCACAAGAGTGAAAGAAATAGGACAGATTGCTTTTGTCTTGATGAGGAGGTGAGCTACAGCTTTAAGAAGTCTGATGAAAAGTCATTTTAGAGACTAGCAGGCTTAAGTTCTGGATTCAGTGTTTCAGGAAAAAGCCCAGGTGGTCAGAATGGCCCTTAATTACCTTGGGTTGCCCCTAAAGTGTGGTCCCGGCCACGTGTGCAGGGCCAGCAGCCAGCCTTTCCTTTCCCTCCGTGTCGGAATGTCGTTTCTGTGGTTGAGTCCTCGGTGAGGGGCTTGGTGTTTATGGGCATGGTGGGAGAATCTCTGTTTAGACAGGGCGGTGAGGTGCTGTTCTGAGGCGCGGGTGAGAGCAGCTGAGCACCTCTGCGCCCCCTCCCGCCGCCCTCAAGCAGGTATGCAGACAGGTGACCCCTCACGCTGCTCTTCCCGTGCTCCTGTGCTCATGGTTGCTGGCACGTTCTTTTTCCTGACTTGGCATCAAATGCATGTATGGTAGTAAGATAGGAATGGAAGGTGATTTTTTGAAGGTAGTTCTGGTTTGGGACTTCTGAGAGAAGTGTAAGCTTTAAGAAGAGTAGGCTCAGAAGTCTTGTTGAATGAGCATGAAATTAGCACGAATGTGGAGCATATCTGAGCCTTGTTGATGGGGAGTAGGACAGCGGCTCGTGGTGCTGATGCAGGCAGAGCTGGAATTGCCTCCCTCGGGTGAGAAGTTGTGCTCCTGGGGGTGCCGAGGGCTTCCATGATGGTTAGGGGAGCGAGGCGAGGCTGGCGGTGGTGCTCTCAGAATGCCACGTGCTGACCAGCAGGCGGCTCGGCTTGGGAGAGACACCACGGTCTTTGCTTCTTTCTTAATTAAAAAAAAAGAAAAAAGATGGTTTTAATTAATAATTGATCATTTAAATCACATTTTATTATAACATAGTTGAATAAGTATCTCCGCTGCCTGGAATTGTCACTCAGAGGAGATAATGGTTGAATTTAACTCCATTGTTGCTTAGAAAATCTCAAGCTCCAGTCCCAGTTACAGGGCGGCAGTAGGATTTCTCCAGCCAGGTAGGAGGAGTTTGCAAAGTGTAATAATGTTACTCTGTTAAAAACTAGAAGGCTAAGTTGATTTTGGTTGGTCACCGTCCCCTCCTCCTCCTGCCTCACTTCTGTGTGAGCCCCACGTGTCCTGAACAACTACTCATTTTCTAGACATGACTTGGTTTTCCTCGACTCCCTGTCTTTGGGCTTCTCGGCTTAGGACGCCCTGTTCCGCCCTCTGTCCTGCTTGGCAAACCTCAGTGTATCTTCCCAGAATTGGCTGGGCTTTGAAGCCTTCTCTTGCTCACCAGGGCAAACCTAGAAGTGTAACAGTGGACAGCACACGTTGTGTGCATGCACTCTTACATTGTGCATCTTTCTTAGTAGCATATTTTTGTCTGTGTCTGTGCGCACACATATATACACATGTGTGTACATAGATACATGCATACAATTTCTGTCTAGTTTTTATATCTGTGTTCCCTGTTGAGTGCCTGGCACTTAAACAGTAGATGTGCCGTCCTACTTATTGAATGAAATGAATGAAAACATTTAAAAACACAGGGAAACTACGATGAGATTCTCTGTATCAGAAACAAATGAATTGCTGGTTCGAGGGAACATGGACGTACTAGCCTGACACCGTGTTAGGTGCGTCATAGATGTTATCTTTGTCTGTGTGTCTTAAAGTCTTGACAACAAACAGGTATTTTACATGTGAGGAAATGGAGCCAAGTTAATTAATTACTTGCATTAAGTCCACATGCATAGTTCACAAGGAGCAAAACATGAGATTTGGACCCAGATCTGTCTTAACTTTAGAAAGCCTCTGCCCTTTTCACATCACTGTCGCTATAACTGTGTAGTGATAATCATCTTTAAAATTTCAAATGGGGGCTTCCCTGGTGGCGCAGTGGTTGAGAGTCTACCTGCCGATGCAGGGGACATGGGTTCGTGCCCCGGTCCGGGAGGATCCCACATGCCGCAGAGCGGCTGGGCCCGTGAGCCATGGCCGCTGAGCCTGCGTGTCCAGAGCCTGTGCTCCGCAACGGGAGAGGCCACAACAGTGAGGGGCCTGCGTACCGCAAAAAAAAAAAAAAAAAAAAAATTTCAAAGGGGTCCAACTTTTAAATTTTTACATTTTAGATGCTGTTTTCCTTAAATTTAAAAGAATGGGATGTTGGTTTCTATGGCTCTGGGTTTCTGCTGGAGCTGGTGCTGGTGTGGGGAGTGGAAAGTTGATGGAGCCCTTCCTGAAATGCAGGGGTGACTCTCTTGTGCTGCATGGTCTCTTACCTTCATGCGAAGGGGGGGGATTCAGTTTTACAGGTAACAAAGATAAATGTCCTTGTTTTATCATTTCTTTCTCTTGTCCTGTTTTTCTGGATGTTCTCTTTAATTTGCATTGTAACACATTTGATTGTTGTCCTGATTTGGAACTGGAAGGATCTATTGAGTCTGATTTGAGACAAGATGGGCTAACCCTTCAGTATAAGACTTCAGTTCGTATCCCGGGTTTCTATTCCAGTTAGGAATTCTGTTAGAATCCACTAAAAAACACAAGATTTCATGGACACTTTTGACATTTAGCTTCTTCATGGAAACTTTTATAACTAAATATTAAGTTTTGAAAAATGAGGGTTTCCTACGTAAGTGTAGGAATTCTGTCTCATGTTGACCTTTTAGGTCATCTTCCTTTTTCCTTTCCATCCTGGTCCCCCTTCAGCTACCCAAGACAGTAAATTTACAGGGGAAGAGGGAGCACTGGAATTTGGGGAGCATAGATATAATCTGAAAAAACATTTCAAGTGATCATTGTTTTCATTGCTTTTAAGTCATTTTGAAATTTCAAATAACACTAAAAGCTGACATGATTTCTTCACTTCATCAGTGTAGGAAATTGGATTTTTAAAGCTGTGAACACTGTAAGGGGCTCTTGCTGCTGTAACGTCCAAGAATCCAGAATCAACTTAGTGACCCAGAAAGGAGGGGCGCTGGGACACGGGTCGGGTGATGAAAGGTCTCTCTTCATCTTCTGTAATGCTCCTTGTCTTCGTCTATTTTGTCTGGTAATAAAATAGCCACTCTGGCTTTCTTATGCTTACTGTTTCATGTTTTATCTCTCTCCTTTTTGTAATCCTTTTCTTTCAACCCATGGGTTGAAATTTTGACTTTAAAAATGTGTTTCTGGTAGACAGACTATAGCTGAGTAACAACTATAGTTGTTACCTTGTTATTAGTTTGGGATTCTCTACCTTTTAACCTAAATGTTTAGTCCATTTATAAGTAATGTAATTATTAATCTGGTTGCTTATTTCTATTTGTCTTTTTTTTTCTCTGTTGCTCCTTTTGTGACTTTCTTTGGGGTTAACTCAGTATTTTTTAGCATTCCATTTTAACTCTCCGTTGGCTTTCTAGCCATCCTTTCTTGCATGTTTTAGAGAGTACTCCTAAGGGTTGTAATTTGCATCTTTAATTTACCATAATCTATTTAAAATTAATGTACTACTTTGCATAAGCTATATGATTCTTGCAGCAGTATAGCTGTGTTTACTCCCTCTGTTTTGTAATTTTTTTTTTTTTTTTTTTTTTTTTTGCGGTACACGGGCCTCTCACCGTTGTGGACCCTCCCGTTTGCGGAGCACAGGCTCCGGACACGCAGGCTCAGCGGCCGTGGCTCACGGGCCCAGCCGCTCCACGGCATGTGGGATCCTCCTGGGCCGGGGTACGAACCCGTGTCCCCTGCATCGGCAGGCAGACTCTCAACCACTGCGCCACCAGGGAGGCTCTGTTTTGTCTTTTTTATCTGAGGATGTTATTGACTCTACCATCATTTATGCTGTAGGATGTTTCTTTCTTAGTGGTGATAGTTTTTATGGATTATTTTTGTGTTTCTCCTTCTTGTAACCTGTGGCAGGCATTTGTAGGGTGGCTGGGTAAGACTTAGGTATGCAGTCTGTAGCCATGGTAATCACATCCTTGCTGCCTCCATAGATATGAAATGCAGAGCCATTTAGTCCAATCAAGAATTTTTTTTAATTAATTAATTTATTTTTGGCGCGTTGGGTCTTTGCTGCTGCACGCGGGCTTTCTCTAATTGCGGCGAGCGGGGGCTACTCTCCGTTGTGGTGCGAGGGCTGCTCATTGCGGTGGCTTCTCTTGTTGTGGAACACGGGCTCTAGGCATGCGGGCTTCAGTAGTTGTGGCTCGCAGGCTCTAGAGCACAGGCTTAGTAGTTGTGGCACATGGGCTTAGCTGCTCTGCGGCATGTGGGATCTTCCCGGACCAGGGCTCAAACCTGTGTCCCCTGCATTGACTGGTGGATTCTTAACCACTGCGCCACCAGGAAAGTCCCAGTGCAATCAAGAGTTGATGAGGAAATCCTGAATTTGGAGAGGATGATTCAGGACAAAACGGCTCCACAGTTGTTGGCAGGAGGCTGCAGTTCTGGGAAATAGAAATGCACCTTTGTCCCCAGTGCCTCTGCTGGAGTGGAACACTCCCTTTTGTACAGAAATCATTGTCATCCATAATGGGTAGAGTGGTAACGTAAGTGGAAGCAAAATATGATTTGTTACCCTCTCAGCTTGTGTTTCTTGAATACAGCTGTTCAGCAATCTGCATTTGAGCTAGTTGGGGGTTATTTATTATAAATGATTGCTCCTGGGCCTCAGTCCAGACCTGCACAGTCAGGATCTGAATATGATATCTGGGGCCTGAATTTTAGGGTAAGTGCTCCAAGCTCGTCTTAAATGCAACAATGTTAGACTGCCACTGCTCTAGGACTCTTCCCAAAAGCCCCTGACTTTTTATGGACCTGAATCAGTACTATTAATGTTTATCTTCAAGATTAACAAGCGTGCAACTGATGAAACAGTTTGGTCAGAGTCATAGAATTCTAGAGCCTGCATAAAGGTGCCTTCGAGGTCATGCCAGCTCAACAGTCTCAGGGGAGGAAATAGGTCAAATGAGAGTATCTGGGTGGTTTTTACGACTGATTCATGATATATAAGGTACTTTGCTATGAATTGTAGATCAAAATAACCTGTTAAAACTTTTCTGTACTATGTAAGGAATTATTTTCATGTTATGTGTTACTTTTAATCCAGTTTGACAATCTCTGCCTTTAAGTGGGGCTACTTAGAGCATTTGCACTTAATGTGATTATTGATATTGTTTGGTTTTCCTCTCTCTTGCTATTTCCCATCTGTTTGTCCCATCTTTTCCTTTTTCCTTTTATACTCTTTTTCTGCCTTCTTTTGGGTTCAGTATTTTTTATGATTCCATTTTATGGCCTTTATTGGCTTACTAGCTATATGTTCTGGGTGGGGTTTTTTTTGGTGTTTAATAGTTGCTGTAGAGTTTATAACTAGTATGTGCCTTTGACTTATTAGTGTCTACTTTCACGTAATATGTATAAAAGAACTTTAGGACAGTACACCTCCCTGTTATTCTGCCTTTGTGCTGTGGTAAATATATTTTACTTCTACACATGTTATAAACCCCACAATACATGTTTTATTTTACAGTACACACTTTTGCCTTAAGCAGTTAATTATCATTTAAAGAGATGTTTTTACATAAGAAGAGGCTTTTGTGTTTGCCCACCTGTTCACCATTTCTGCTAGTCTTCATTCCTTTGTAAAGATCCAGATTTCCATCTGGTATAATTTTCTTAGTATTTCTTATAGTGTGGGTCTGCTGCTGGTGATGTTTGTCAGCTTTTGTATGTCAGAAAAAGTCTTTATTTTCACCTTTGTGTTTGAAAGACATGAATTTCAAAGATACTTGAACAATTTCTGTTTACTGGGTATAGAGGTGTAGGTTGACTTGTTTTTTTTTTTTCTTTCAGTCCTTTAAAGATATTGCTATTCTGTCTCTGGCTTCTCATGGCATTCTTTCTGATGAGATGGCTGCTGTCATTCTTGTCTTTGTTCTGTATATAATGTGAGTTGTTCTCTGACTGCCTTGCAGAATTAACTGTCAGTGTTTGACAGTTCATTTATTTACAAGTTGTTAGTGTTCTGGTTGAATGTGTAAGTTCTCAGGTCTGTGTGATCACTCTTTTCTGATCACTCTGTTCCTTGATCACCCCAGACTGAGTTTCTACTGACCCCTGTGCTTCTAGGGGCAGTTAGAACATATCTGTAGAACAAGAGAAGAAGCATCCGTCAGTCGGTCGTGGCTTCTGAACCGATTCTGAGATGCTCTTGTGACTTTGTGCCGCTCCAAAAACAACACAGGGCAGTTTTCCTTGTGCTGCTTCGGAGAGGCAGGGGTACCTTGTAGTGCGACAGTGTTACAAGGAGTATTTCTGATGTCTCTGATAGTTGGTGTGGATGACTGCAGCTCAGAGTCTGATGTGATTGTTGTACCTTCAGCCCTGGACTTTGTCTCACAAGATGACATGTTGACGCCCCTGGGGAGACTGGACAAGTATGCTGCGAGTGAGAACGTATTTAACAGGTATGTGCGTATGCTTTCCATTAAGGTGGAAGCACAAGTGTGGCTTTTATTGCATGAATTTCAGTAAACAGAAGTATCCAGTTGAAAGTAGATGTCATTACTGCATGGTCTGAGTCACCCAGGTTCACTGCTGGTCACAGCCGTGGCCGCCTTTACAGTCGTTTACTCCTCTGTCCTGTGAGCAGCCAGCACTCCTTCTTGACTTTCTGGCGAAAACAAAACAAACAAACTGCTTTTTTGCTATTAGGCATAATTTTAATGTTCATTAAAGTGACTGCTGAGGCGTCAGTTCCTCCTCCAGCAGGTGGTGGTTTGTTCCTGCTGTGGGCCAGGTGACTGGCGGCCAAGGGGCGAGGGACACGGCAGTGACCAGAGCTCACACTCTCCCTAATGCACTGTTTCTCCACCTAGGGCCCCCAGACCACCTGTACCAGACTTCTCGGGGAAATCTCAAAGTCTTTGCTAATAAAATTGTTTGAGTATAGATGTATAAAACTCATTGAGTAAAATATGTAAAGATAACGTTTTATATAATGAAGAATGATTGTACTTTCCCATGTTTATGATAATTGAAGGTAGCTACTTGAAACAAATTTTCAGTGACCTTAGAAATTTGTCAGATCAGGTAAAGGTGAAACATATTTTGGTAAATAATCAATCTCATCTTGTTAAAATAAAATCCATACTGGCATTTGTCACTTAGGATATTAGGGACTTAATATATGTTATAAAATGTATTAAGAAAAATTTTCTTTTAAACTATATGGATTCTGCCTTTTAAAGTTCTAAATACTAACTATTAATGCCACTGAACATCATATAATTTTCTTCTTCTGTGTAGACAAATGGTGGCCCGGAGTCTGCTGGACACACTGAGGGAAGTCTGCGATGATGAGAGAGATTGTATTGCTGTTTTGGAAAGAATTAGCAGATTAGCTGATGATTCAGGTATATATTTATGCAGAGAAAGGTTTCTTTTACTAAATTTTGTTTCTAAAAACTAATGAAAAACTTAGTGTAATGTGAGATTTCTTTGAAATATTTCCGAAGTAAATTATCAAACCCATCAATAACAAGAAAATAAAAACCTGTTACTGGGCTTCCCTGGTGGCGCAGTGGTTGAGAGTCCGCCTGCCGATGCAGGGGACGCGGGTTCGTGCCCCGGTCTGGGAAGATCCCACATGGCGCGGAGCGGCTGGGCCCGTGAGCCATGGCCGCTGAGCCTGCGCGTCCGGAGCCTGTGCCCCGCAACGGGAGAGGCCGCAGCAGTGAGAGGCCCGCGTACCGCAAAAACAAACAAACAAACAAAAAAACCTGTTACTAAGATCCAAACATTTTATAGTAGGCGCATTTAGTTTAACTTTGAAAATTTCTCGTAAGAAAAAACTAAGAACATTGTTTTGCATCATATACATTAATACTATTTTAGAATTAATAAATTCTTTTGAAAAAAAATTTTGAATAAATTAAAAGGATGGAGTGGGCTGTAAATTTTTTGGCAAATATAAAATGCATTTTTATTTATAAAGAATGTTTATCACCCCTTGTGAAACTAAGGCTGTTTGTCTCTAAAGTGAAAGGAGGAGGAGAGTCTGCTTAAGAAAGAGGTAAACTTGTTTTGAGGCTTAGAATACGGTTTATTACGTTTTTAAAAGGTATTTTTTATGGTGGTAAAACATACATAAAATTTACCATTTTTACCTAATATTGTTTTGAGCGTATTTTTATATTTGATTTTAGAAACGATTCAAAAATCAAATAACATTTTTTTTCTTAAATCCATGACCTCTTTATTAAAATGTATTATTTTTCAATTTATTAAACTTTCGGCATGGCAACAGTTCTCATCCTTTAATTTCCAGATGAGCTCATCTTTTGGTAAGCAACTCATTTTATGGGAATATGTTTACTATTTATGTAAGCCTTAAATATTTTTATTTTCTTATAGAAAAAAACATTAGTAAGCTTCCTCATTTTCTATCTCATTATGATGTTCTGTGTACATAATTGCTCATGTATATGCTTGTTCCAGAATGGTTTTAGGAGGGTCTCATCAATTATAATTTTTACTTACAATTTATTTTTAGATTTAGCAGAGATAAACAATGTAACTTAAAATTTTGGCACTATTGCGTTCCACTGTGTTCATTCCTTTCATAGAGATGTAGATATTCTTTAAGGTGGAATTTGTGTTTGTTTTCTTCCACCTGTTTACCAACTACAGTGCTGTTCTTTACATATATTATATTCTACATGTGTTTTAAAATATATCTCAAGTTGTTGAGTTCCTGATACATATCTCTCTTGACATTTACACTTTGAATTCATTCAGTAAATGTGAAAACAGTGCATACTGTATGCCAGGTTCTAGATTAAATGCTGGAGCCTTACTGAGATGAGTAAGAATCCCTGTCATCAAATTAACAGTTTAATGAATGCAACTGACATACTAACAGTAAATTATACCAGGGAGGGTTGGGGCCCGCTTTGGACAGTTGGTGGCGTTTGAGTTGGGTTTGATGGGGAGGGAGGGGAGAAGGGGGCTCGGGAGAGGAAAGGACAGGTGTAGAGGTTTGGGGAGCTCAGGACAGCGGCCCGTTTGGCCAACAGTGTGTTTACTGGGCCTACGGTTTAGAAGAATGAGACTTAAATAAGGTGGTTGAGGGCCAGATTGTAAAGATTTATACTGTGCCAAGTCGGAGAGTTTGCTTAGCTTGTGATTTAGTACAGAAACACAGCAGTGTGGGTTGACTTGAGGAAAAGATGGGTGACGGAAGGCTGGTTGGGAGATTCCTCTGACTGTTAGGAGTAGTTGGGAGGAATGGAAGGGCTGGAGGGGTGTCAGAGCCACTGTGATGGGCGCTTCCATGAATTTGAGGATTCTTGTCTCTCCATCAGATATGGGAAAGTTGCAGTCTTTAATATTTTTAATATTACCTCTCCTCCACCCCAAACTCCTTTCCTTTCACTTTTTTTTTTTTTTTTTTTTTTTTTTTTTTGCGGTACGCCGGCCTCTCACTGTTGTGGCCTCTCCCGTTGCGGAGCACAGGCTCCGGACGCGCAGGCTCAGCGGCCATGGTTCACGGGCCCAGCCGCTCCGCGGCATGTGTGATCTTCC